TCCATTGTTACTGGCGGAAACACTTTACACACCAATACTATCCTAAAATTTGTAAAGCATACCAATTCTGTTAAAGAATTTCTGATGCGCAACATATACTGAAATTGATTTTCAGTAAAAATTCCTTCTGACGGACTTATTGAAAGGCCACACCCGACGAACTACACGTATGCTGAAAGGAGGAGATACATCAGTCAATGTGTATGTACTACTGACTGATTCACTCAAACGACCATATTATTATAATTATAATGTTTCATCATTCGGAACGCTGGCTAAAGTAATTACCTTGCTCTTTTTCTTAATTGCAGAAAGAAAGAGTCAACGCGTCAATGGCTGTCACACTTTTATTCTCTTTGCATTAGATAACTATCGTAAAATACGCCTATACATCTTTATCAAATTATTCTTGGTGAAAGGAAGGAATACATCAATCAGTTTTTAAGGTCACACTGCCATCCACTATAACGAAATCATATTATAAGCGGCGTAGCCTTTTTGTTTTTCCTCTTATCGGAAACCTTTTTTCGTATTAGATCTGAACTTGAAAACCCTTTTCTGTTTTAGGGAATACCAGCACAAACACAAACCGCTTCAAATAACATATTTATACAAGTACACGGAGTGCAACGATAACGGCAGAAAAGACAAAAAAACGACGAGCCTTATAATATGTGTTTTCAGATATATATATGTGTGTCATGTACATCTATGTTAAATTATTCTTCGATCTTAAGCATTCCTGTAAGACTCATGTTTTATACTATAAGACGAACAAAATCAAGAAATTGCTTTTTTCTAGTACAAAATGGTGCAACGATTTTTGTTGTTAAATAACAATGAATGATTGTTTGGATACAATTGTTATTATCTTCATTGATATATATTACAATAGACAACATCATTGAACAGTATGATGCTGTACTAAAGCCAAGTCGACTTTCTTACTTCGTTCATGTAACGTGACCTTCACTCCGTGCTAGCGCTAAAATGATGCAACTTAAGATGTTGCTGTTGTGGCGGCGCGATCGTGATTAACTCTTATTTTTGAAAAAAAGTGTAGTTCGCGATCGCTACGTGACACTTTTACCTTACAGTGAACGCGCGAATCACGCAGTGGTAGTTGTCGCGGTGCGACCTGGCGGAATTTGTAATTCCTGATGGTGAAGGGACAATAGCGGCTTTTTACCGATCACCGCGCTATTTCGCGACCTGAGCGCGATCGCTGTATGATAAAAGTATCACGTCACTGTCGCATTTTTCTCTTATAATCGCGATATGATACACGGTCACGGCGCGACTCGCGTGCAAGTCCTGACCACCATTTTGTTTTGCTTACGTATATTGCTTGTATGTATTTTCGAGCTTCTCTGATTTTTCGAAAAATTCTCAAAATCTTCTTACCTCTTAATAATAGCTTACGACGTGACTAATATAGTCTTGTGTAGTCGCGTGGCGCGTTCGCTATTTGTGTACGTTCGCTGTGAAAGTAGCGTGGCTGATTTACTGATATTAGACGAAAAATGCGAATAAACAGTAACTATAGTAAAATGCTTCAGAGGCATCGATTTTTGTATAAGCGCAAAAAGTAGCGTCTTATTTCGTGAGTCTTACGGCGAACGTGTTACGTGATCCTGCCGCGAATATTTAAAGAGACTCGCATCGCGACATGCGATAAGAAAGTAGATCTCGACAAACTAGATCTCAGCTTTATTATTTTGACTCGTGCCTGATATATCTTCGTGACCATTCAAAGCGAAACACTTTGCACTTGTCATTCAAAAGCTTTGCTTCAGCCATCTCCTGCATAACTCGAGTGATGGTGCGTGGTGTTATGTATTAGGCGTTTTTGTCACTACCGCTAATTCAACTCTGACAATATACATGAAACTTGAAAAAATAGTGAATAGAATGTTTAATAATATGTTATGTATGCAACACCACGTTCTCAGGAGAGTTTTCAAGAATCACTACATAATTATCAATGTTGGTTATACTAAAACAAGCTTTGCTTAACTTTTTCAGATTGTGGCTGATCATGGAGGTGTCAGACGATTCAGTCGACGTATTCAGACAGTACAAACTGAAACACTGTCTTGCGTCGACAAAGAAATGTTCAGGAACTGAACGAGTGGTTAAACTGAAAAGCGACCGCAATAAAATCGACGAACTTCTAGGCTGCATTAGTCATGGTTCAGAAGTTGTCGAGAACAATGATGAGTTTTATTTACAGTTTCAAATAACGAGTACAACAGACACTCCTGGCGAAGCTGAGAGTGCAGATCGATCATCAAGTTCATATGAGAGATTACACACAACACACTCCTTCGATCGTGAGGAAGTAGTGTTAGACGATGCTAATTCACTTTCTCCAACACCACATCCAATAGATGCCAACAAAGGCCATCGAATAGTAGTACATAAAATAAACAGTGTTTCAATGTGCAAATGTGGTGAACAAAGTCAGGTCGATAAACGTAAACTCTTGGATCCTGACAAGCACGGTGTATTTGTAAATTCAAGATCACCGGAAGATAGTTATGCAAGAGGAAAGGTACGCTATGATGATCAGTGCGAAGAAAATGAAAGTGTCTTTATATTCCAGGCTAGTGTGCGCAGACGAGTAGCATGAAAAGTTGCTGTTGCAATGTACTCTTTTCTGTCGTCGAAAAAGTCAGACTTGTTCACTCTTGCGTTTAGAATTTAGAACAATAAGAAAAGTTGATAGCTTGGATGACAGAATCGTTTGTTTGTTCACTTGAGTTTAGAATCGCTTATTCGCAAATGTGACGAAGACAGCGGATAGACAGATTTATTGGCACAACAGAGCACACAGATTGAAAGAAGGTATTTGTTTGCACAGGAGCTTCCACTGGAGCGAAGATATAGATACACTGTACATATGCCACGTGGTATTTACTGTTGTAATCTACTTGATTTAGCAAAGCGAATGAAAGTAATAAGTTCACTCGTGCCTTGTTGTCCTATTAGCGATGAATTAGCCAGTAGAACGCATGGCAGTATGGAAAAATGCAAAGGTAAGATATTGAAGGACAAGGACTTGTGACTGAACTGACTTTATTTTAGGCTTTTTCCAGCAAACTGTAACGAACAAACGAAAGTATCGTAGTCCTTCGAAGTACAAATGTGCCATCGTCAATTTCAAAAATGTTTGAACTATGGATTGGTGTGCGGTGAATCTGTTTCAAATGACGTATACAATGATAGAATACTGATGTTATTTAAGGGTACCCTCCCATTTTTTGACCTAGTTGACAAACGTGGTGGTTGCTGATAGATTTCCCCCACAATCTCTTTGTCCAGATGGTTCAACCTATGGGTTGATCATCTGATGTTCTTTCTTTTATGTCCAGTGTCTAGTGTTTTGTTCTTTTTCTTGTAGTATAATTATGTAGTGATTTTTCCCGGTGTGTTCTCTCTCGTTTTCTGTGCAGTAAATATTCTGATATTCAGGTGTCACTACTCTACTGCGGACGGTAGGACGGGCGGTGGAATAAGTAGATTAAATCGTACAAATGTCCATGTTGTATAAGGACCTTTTGTTTACAATTCGAGTGAGGTAAAATTCAGTAATAAACTACTATACAGCACATGGTGAGTTATATTATACTTCATAATACTCTTATCAAACTGGAAAACAACATAAGCATGTATACTATGGTGAAGTGGCAGTGGATCTTTGCTCACAGATTCCATCATCATATTGCAAACAATATACCTCTAGCACTTGGCTACATGCTTATAACACAATGCCTTGGACTCAGTTGATGAGTTTTATCATGGTTGTATACTGGAAGATTAGTCATCATACCTACGATGTGTTCATGCAGTTGGGATTATGATGCATTTTGGTTTTTCCGCAGTATCGGATCTAAGAAAACTAGATGATTTAGGTAAACGACGCGGACGTCCAAAAAAGGCAACACCAGCTTTATGTCGCTAACATTATCATGTTGTACATATGTAATTGGTTTTTTTGGTATTATCCATTAAAACGGGCACAAAACTATTATTTCTTGAAATTTCAATTAAGATCGTAAATCGGGCACTAATTAATGCAATTGATAGACACATTTCTTGTTCCGGGCACAAAAATGTGAAAACATCTATTTGTGCCCGAACCAACACTAATTAGTGGCCTCGGACACAAAAAATAATTTTTCGAGGAAAACGCTTTACAATTTTAGCGCCCTTCGCGGTAAAAGGCAATATTTTGCTAGTCGTACAAAAAATAGAATATAGGCTTCAGGCTAGAATATAGCTTGAAGTGTCTACTTCCAGAATCTGTGTTGCTTTTGGTTACAAAAGTGGTTTTTCCGGGACTTTGAGCAAGTTTTCTAGCAGCCTCGAAAAAATGGGTCTTCAAATAATGGTTTTTTCCTGGATACTTATGCAATTAAAATTTTTCTGAAAACACAGCTTTGTAGAGCAAACGTTTCTGATCAAAATAAGACTTCGCATAACTCTGTGTGACCTTGCATC